CAAGAATCCAATGGCCACTCGAAGAGGTGGAGAAAACCCTTTATTACACTGGTGAGCTCAGAGTTCATACTCGAAGTCTGAGCATTTTACCAGAAATGAAAGCCTCCTTTCATTTAGGGATCTACAGGCACAAGAGCACGCTCACTGAAGCAGAGGGGCGGAGTTACAGAACATTCCTGTAGGACATAGCAGGTGAGCATGCTCATAGAAGCAAGGGAGTGGAGTTACAGAACATCCCTGTGAGGGGCAGGGTTTAACAGAACATTCCTTGAAAGGTCATACAGTTTAAACAGTCACAGAACATTTTGATACATTGGGGAGGAAGACTATACAGCAGTACAAACTGTTACAATTCTGTTACATTTCTGGAACATAACATTTTTTGGAAGAAAAAAAGCATGGATCAAGGCAAGGGAAAGGCAAGGGGAGATCTTACTGTGTAGTATTTCTGTATCAGTGAGATATTCACCCATCCAGGTCTATAAATTTAAAATAAATCATACAAAGTCTAGCTGCCTTGACAACAGATAGAGATTCCAAAATGCAGGAGTCTGGGCATGATTAATATTTTCTTGAAAAATATATCAATTGCTACAAAATTATACTATAACACACAGCCACAAAGTTTCAGTGTCAATGTTGTTTTGGTTTGACCAATTGAGCATAAATTAGTTATATACAAATTAAGCATAAATTGCTAAATCAGCAGTGGGATATACCACACAATACCTACTTTTACATCTCTCAGCTCTATTCTAGTAACCTCTAGAATCTTTTTCCCCCCTTGATCTGAAAAACCCTGGCTATTCCGAGATGGGGAAACATTCATGTTTACTAAATTTTGAGGTATTGATGAAATGCGAATCTTTTGAATGAAAAGATAACCCAAAAAACGTTTCTGCAATGTCAGAGTAGTATTTCTGGAGAAAACACATCCAGCCTCTACAGGAAATCTTCTTGAACTTGACTTTATATGTTTTGGTTTGTATTAGTGTATATCCTATGTCTGATTATTGAACTAAGTTTCACTGATAGGATTCTGAAACAAATGACTTTCTGGATTTTATTTTATTTTTATTTTCTCTTCTATCAGCAGACAAGCACTCTAATGGCCTCGTTGACTGGTATATTAGCAGAGATGCTAATGATCTAAATCCAACAGATGCTTCCAAGCACAGCACAAGTTAAAATACGCAACCAACAGAAATAAAAAACGTGGGTTGTTTGATATACACATAGAGGACTCTTCCTATAATTAGAGATAATTACCAATGGTGGAAGATCAAAAGCAACTTTTTGGGGACCTTGAGAAGCTAAATATAAACTGCAAACAGACACAAGCAGGTACACTAAATTTACAAAATGTGGAATTTCTTATGAGAAGACTTTAACTCATTTTTATAGTTATTTGCCTTATTAGCATTTCATGTACAATTTTCAAAGTATACCTTAAATAAATATTTTCTTACATATTGATTCAAGCAGCATAATTTATTTTTCTTGGATAGACACTCATTCCCTGCAGTCAGGAAGAGAAAAAGTACATGGTACACTTCTAAAAAATTAAAAATTTTTTTTCTCTGTGAATGTGTTTCCACTGGATTGTTTCTCATAAGACTCTAAGTCCTTTAAACAAAATTTACACTTCAGAATTATAGTAGAAAAATTAAAACAGCAAATAAAGGTGGAGTACAACCTCTTTTCCTACTCCTGTTCCAAAGTTCATCCTAGTTTAAAAAGGTTTTCAAATTTTTAGATATTTTAATTGTGTTAGCTCCACTTTCCAATTTTATATCTACTACATATAACTCATACCGGTTTTATACTGACAAAATTTTTTTTTTTTTTTTGGTACCGGGGATTGAACTCCGGACCTTGCACTTGCGTGGCAGGCACCGGAACCATTGAGCTAAATCCCTGGCCTTATACTGACAAAAATTTTAATAACTTAGGCTTCAGGTATGAGATACCTACAAGTGAAAAATCTTTGCCCTCTAAATATGTATTTTTATTTTCTCTTCTGATAGAATATGGTGTACTTATTTTTGACTCCTTAATGTCCATTGCAAGGCAGATGAAATTATTCTCAGAACAATTAGGCTAATTTCCTGAAATGTTCATGAAAGTACATGATCTGGATGGAAAGATATTCATTCCTTAAAGAAAACCGGATTACTCAGTAAAGGAAGAAATTGACATTAGGTAGATAATTAACACATCTCTAAGAGATTTTTTTTCTTTTTTGGCAAAAAAAGCTTTGTAGAGTAAACAAAGACCTGTCTTCTTCCTTCCCCATCCTGACACCTGTTAACTACTTAAAGATTTATTGAAAGGCCAACTCACATATCAACCACTTGGTCGCCGCAGACTTAAGGATTTATGGTCTTGTCAGTTTTCCTAAAGTACTTCAAATAGAACTTAACTATATAAACATAATCCTTGATGTATACTTGTATCATTTTAATTGCATTTCTATTCCTACCACTGGATAGTAAGATGCTTATGCTACTTCCAATTTATATAGGTACATGTATAGGTCTTATACAACTCTGTACACAAGTGTTCAGACAATTTTCCATAATCACATGATGATCCTAAGAATTGAAAAGCTAGCTGAAAGCAGGGATTAGCAAACCATGGCCCAATGACAGGTCATCTGTTTTTGTAAATTAACAGAATACACTCATAACCATTCATTTATGCATTATTTTAAACAGAAACTGCATCATCTGCAAACTTAAAATATTTACTATCTTGTCTTTACCACAAAAGTTTACTGATCATCAGTTAGGGCAATATGTACAAGTCTAATTATGGGAATGAATAATATATAGCTTGGAATACACTCCATCAACTTGTTTTAAGCACTATTTATTGAACCAAGTGGTAACTTCATAAGTAATACATTGTGATGGTCACTTTTATGTGTAAATTTGGCTAGGACATAGTTTCTGGTCATTCAATAAATCAAATGTCCAGGCAGGTGGCAGGTAGTCCTGTGGAGGTATTTTCTAGAGGTAAAGTCCATAACCAGTTAATCATAAGTAAAAGAGATTATCGTCAATCATCTAGGTAGGCCTGATTCAGCCTGTTGAAAGGTCTTATGAAAAAAACCTACATGTACAAGATGAATAAATTTCTTACCTGCTTTTCCTGCCAGCCTACTTTGTAGATTTCAGATTTGCCTTACCAGCTCTCTCAACTGCATGAATCAATGGATTTAATAAGTTCCTTTATATCTCCTTCTGATTATGTTGTTTTTGTTGAATTCTGTCTGATCCACGTATCTCTGTGACCTCAAGAAGCTAAAGCTCACTCCAATAAAGGAGTTTATTTTCCACTGCAAGAAGATTGTATTAAAACATGCCAAAACCTATTTAGAGGAGAGTTGAGAAGTATTATTATCATGATTTTTCCCTGACCTGCTAAAAGTAGAATGGTATTAAGATTTTTTTTACTAGGTTGACTATTTCAATCCATCATTCTATTCTTCAAAAAAATGTATTTTCATTAGCACGTTTGCAGTGCATAATGAGAATATGTATCAATTTCTTTTAAATATTGTCAAAGCTAATAGCCAAAAATTATTTCCTTATCAAAATCCAATATTTACCTTGACTCTGTGACATTCATATATTATCTTTCCTCAGAGACAAAGCTTACTTACTAATTAACTAGTATTGCCTGATGTGTAGTTGGGAGAGGGGAAGGAAAAACAAACCAAATCAAAATGGGAAAACCAAAAGTTCATTTTTAGTTTGTGTAATTTTTTGTGTGGATACATCAGTACTGTATTTTCTTTCACATGGAAAGAAAGACTGCCATTTTGATGTTGGTTGTCAAATAACCTTCCTTTATCATCAAGGGCAAAGATCTGAAATATTGTTCTTTCTGGTCTTCTGCTTTGCAAATAAGTTCCCCTCTCATCCTCTGACCCTGCACTGAATTCAATATTTGTAGACTTCATAGTTCATTCTTGCCAAAATACAAACTATAACATTGCAGATATAATGGTATTAAACCAAAGATCAATTTCCCAATTGAAGTGACTGATTCTAAACAGAAACATTATTTGGAATGGGAAAATCAATTTGAAATTATGGTTATATTTTAAAAGAGTTATATCTAGTGAATTTAAAACTAAATTCATCATTCTTAATCCCATATGAAAGATAATACTAGATAACAGATTTCTTGTGACCTTAGGTTAATTTCTAAGATTATGACCTGTATGACTGGCCAGTTGCCTAACATTCCTGAGTATGTGTCTCATTTATGCAAATAAGAATGATAATTTTTTGTTTGTTTCCACAGTGTTACTTTCAGAATCAAAGGACATAATTTGGGAAAGTTGTTTTGGTAATTCTAATGCCAAACATGAAATTATTTTGAGAGGCAGTTTCACAGAACTTTTTGTGCATATGATGACTACTATGGGGGGTCATTTTTCTTTAAAAAATGTACATGTTACTACAAATTTTTTCTGAGCAGAATATAATTGTCCCTTTGAACAATATCTTTGAGCTGGTCCATGGAGTTTATCTTTCAATCTCCTCTTCTAATGTGCTGTTAATTTAATATACTATTATTTTACATAGATGTATAATATAACCAATCTGAAATCAATAAAATAAATGTTGGCTATTTGTTTTCCCCAATGTTCTAACTGTATTTTTACACACATGTTTAGAAGCCATTCTACTGCTGATCATCAATGTCTTTTCCACCAGCTTAGCCTTTGAGTAGCACACAAGTATCCTGTCCTCTATAGTATAAGAGAGAACATGACTAATGTTGTGGCAAAGTGGAACAGCTCAGTTTTACAGGCAAGTGTACAGGTATACAGCTCTGTGTTACAATTCAAGTGCTATAGCTCAGCAATTTGAAGACTCAAGAATCTGAAAGTTACTCGAAGAGATGGAGAAAACCTTTATTAGCTGGCTGGCTCAGAGGAGTTGCCCACTCCAAATTCTGAGCATGGAGTTGAAATGGAAGCAGCCTATAGAGATCTACAGAGTAGGGTGGGGGGCACATGCCAGGTAAGCATGCTCACAGAAGGCGGAGGGCACAGTCACAGAATATACCTGAAATCTGTACTAGGCGATCATGCTCAAACAGTTACAGAACATTTTGATATATTGGGCAGGAACACCATGCAGCTCAAAGAGTTACATTTCTGGAACAAAACATTTTTTAAAAACATGGTGAAGGGGTGGCAAAGGCAAGAGCTTTTATTGCTCTATCACTATCTCAATACAAAGGTGCAACATGAGAGCTCTTCCTTTAGCTTTAGAAACTGAAGAGAAACAGTAAAAATAAAGTTCACGTGGAATATAGATACATAGTAACATTTAATAGGCTTTTGCTTTGGGAGCAAAAAATCATTCCTATTTGGAAGTAACCAACCTACCATTGGACATTTAAAATCAAAGTCTTCTTTAGGATGAAATGCATACAATTGAGCCTAGAATATACTAAAGTTAAACCACTTTGCTTTACTTGAACTTTTCTTTAGAAGCAACTGGGAAACCTTTCAAAACACAGACAAGGTAGATTAAATAACTCACATCACAAAGACTAACAATGAAAAACACTTATTAGAGCCATATTGTCTGCAGTCATATTTTCCAGTCTGTCTTTTCTTAACACAACCTTCAGAAATTATTACAATGAATTGAATACACTCTTTGGTGGCTTTCAGTTCATATATTTCTGTCTTGCATCACTGAAACCAAAAGAATTTCCATTTAAACATTCAATTATGAAGTCAACATGCACAGGCACACACATACATATAGTCATCTAGAATATTTAATGAAAAGATACTAGGAAAAAAATGTGATCAAATATATCTAGCCTCTTTTAGGACTGTATAATGATTAGTATTAGTCTTTAAATTTTGTATT